AATCACTGGATAACAGGTATAGTCGGCAGACAATTGTCAAACACAGAGACAGATATCCCGCACACAGACATCCATAGAGTTAAAAACAAACAAAAATTAGATTTAATTTAAATAAAATTATTTAAATGATAATTAATTCACCACACTCGCTTTTAGTAGCTATGTCATTACGATTGAGCATGATTTATTCAAAAATTAGTGCCAAAATTATACATAGTTGGCCACCAATGATATGATAATTGGGGGTCATTTTGTGCGACCCGAGTGTTGTGTACAACAAAATCATTGAAATTAATGCTAATTTAATGCCAACTATAATAAACACACAAAAACAATGTGCTTGTATGCATACATTAGCTTATTCATTAAGAGTTGGGTCGTTTAGTGTACGTACACTATAATTAACAGTTTAAAATATTTATGAATATTAATTAATAATACCTGGACTTGAGTTTAAATTCATAGTGTATAAAAATTTTTGATTGTATATTCATGAATGTAAAAAATATTTCACTGTCATATTACCATAATCCTATTGTAACGAGTATTTCATTATGATTAAATACGCTAAACTATAACACGTGTTGCTATAATTATCATAAATTTAATTATAATTTAATTAAATTATTACAAAATGTATTCGCGATGGACACAAACATCTCACAGACAATTACAGTAATAATTATATTTTTAAAATTATTTTGCAATTAATTTCTAATAAACTAAATTAATGTTAAAATTAATATTAATTTTTACAATAAAGTAATCAACGAAACCATTGCACCGATTATAACGCTATGCATCGCATAACGGGTGGACTGCATTTGGGCGGCTATTTGGCCGCAACCGTCAAGTCGTCGCTCGAGGAGTGCAATATCGGCACAATACTCACCGTAATGGACACCCCTATACCCACTGAGCACCGATTCCCGGGCATTGCCTATCACTACATCCCCGCCTACGACGACGAGTATCAAAACCTATTGTCACACTTCCCGCTGGCCTACGATATAATTGACAACGCGTTGGCCGCGAGTCCGGACGCCGGCGTATACGTGCACTGCGCGGCCGGCATATCCCGATCGGCCACTACTGTCATCTCGTATATCATGCGAAACCTGCGGATGCCGTACGAGACGGCCCGGGCGTTGGTCCGCTCGCGGCGGGGCGTAATCCACCCAAACCCGGGGTTTGTCCGGCAATTACAGCTCTACGAGGCGATGGACTACCGGCTCGACGGCAACAATCAACAGTTGCGGCAGTTTTTGCTGGACATATACGCCGACTACGACTACAGCCGTTTGCAGCGATACTTTGAGCGGCTCTTAGCGGTCGAGAGGGCCACTGCCGGTGGGGTAGAGTTGGGCCCACTGTATGTGTGCGACGGGTGCGGCCGAGCGCTGTTCAATGAGATACATGTGCTCCGCAATGAGGACCCAATAAATGGCGCTGAGCCCGGCTGTGGTCGTGTGTATGTAGAGCCCCGGCCATGGATGCTGGCCTGCCTGACCGCCCCGCCCAACCCCGACCACCAATATCGGTGGCTCAGTATTAGGTGCCCTCAATGCGCGCAATCACTGGGTTTTTATTAAATGCAGTTAACCCGACGTCAACCCTGGGTAGTGTCACAGGTATGCAATTGTGCCCATCATATCGATGTGAAGCACTTAAAAATTCAATTGATTGATAATGCGTTTCGCATGTTTCCAGTATAATAATCCAGGTGAATTATGTTGTATTTAATGAAATTTATATATATTTAATATAATTGTTTTTTGTTATTAAAATGTGAACGATGTAAATTATTTTGTGAAATAAAATGGATTAAATTAACCATATTTTGTAAATGTAATTATATACAATTGTCTGTAATTTAGTAAGTGTTTTAATTCCTACTAATATAAACATGTAGCATGTTGATTCAACATAGTAGAATATTTGGTGTTGAATGATTTATTGAAAAGTTAGCAACAATTCAAATAATGTTATAATTATAACAGTAATCCGATATTTAAATTCAATGAGTGTTTTTGAATTATAATTAATGTATAAGTTATAATATACATAATATACATGTATGTTATAAAGTATTGCTAGCCAACTTACTTACTATTAGTAAGTTGGAGTAGTAAAACCAAGTGTCATCTCAATATTAAAATTATATTTTAATGATTAAATTAAGAATTATTAATCATTAAATTGAATGCATATAAATCAAATAATAATTTTGAAAACTTATTTCAAACGTCAGAAATTATTTTATTCTACTCTCAACTTAATATTGAAGAATTCCAATTATAAATAAATAATGCATTAACAATTCTAACATATTTTTGATCTACTTTTAATTGTGAACAATTTTTCTCTCTAATGAAATCGCTTAAAAATGACAAAACTGGTAATATTTGCGCAAAAACATTAAGATCACGTTTGAAAATATGGTCATCAAATATGATTAATTTAAATATTACTGAAATTGTTGATAATCGCAAACAATATTAAAAATCTCATTAAAATGTGAATTAAATTTTGTTTTAAGTGACGTTTTGTGGATAGACTGAAAGCCAACCACTATAAAAATGGGTGACAAACTATTAGGTTGACCAACACGCGGTGTTTCTTGTTTAATACTGACAAACCTAAACTTTTACTGACCGTTGCGCCACCTTTTTAAAGCACACTGTGAATCCATATATGTGATATTCTAAAAAAGGTTGGCTAGCAATATTATAAAGCTTTAGTATAACTTAATGTTTTACATATTATGAAATTGTTTTAGATGTGATTGTTTTACTTGCATATTGTTTCTAAAATATTCAAGGAAGTGCAAAGGTTTATGAAAATAGATTGAATTTACTGATTACTTATAATAATAATATAATCATTTATTGATATTTAACTTGTGAATACAAGCAGTCCATTGGCTGCCAACACACTTAATGTGTATATACAATATACAGTACAGTATATGTTTACAGAATGTGTTATTTTTCAAATATCATTGAATGACAATTTTTCAGATAAACTTATTATAACAAATATAAATTACATTTTACAGTAAATACATACAGTATAACAGTATTAATATCAAAGTTAAAACTCAAAGCTGAATGAAATGGATCGGATTATGAGTGCATTGTATTCGGGCGGCGATTTGCCCGTCACTAACGAGTCGATACTTCGGGCGTCAAACATCGGCACAATACTGACCGTAATGGACACGTGCATACCTAATGAGCACCGATTCCCTGGCATTGCCTACCACTGGATATCGGCTGTAGATGACGAGTCGCAGGACCTGTTGACACACTTTCCGACCGCTTATTACATAATAAACGACGCGCTGAACAGCAGTCTCGGCGCCGGCGTATACGTGCACTGCGGGGACGGTATATCCCGATCGGCCACTATTGTCATCGCGTATGTGATGAGTAGACTCGGTGTGCCGTACGAGTCGGCCCGAGCGCTAGTCGCCACCAGTCGCGCCATAATCGACCCAAACGTCGGATTTGTCCGACAGTTACGCCTATTTGAGGCCATGAATTACCAGCTCAGTGGTAACGATCGGCGGCTGCGGCTGTATTTGCTGGACATGTATGCCCACGATTATAGCCGTTTGATTCACTACTTTGAACGACTGGCGGCGATCACGAGGCAAACGACCGAAGGCATGGATTTAAGGGTAAGGTATGCGTGCAATGGTTGCGATGAAGTGCTCTGGTACGATATACATTTGCTCGAACGCGTACATAAGCCCGATTGTAAAAACTCGAGTTGGCACTGGTTGTTTGTCGAGCCCCGACCATGGATGTTTGCCAGCCTAATTGGCGCCCCTATATTAACCGAGTCATCTCACCAGGAGTTGAAAGTTAATTGTTGGCGATGTAACAAAACAGTTGCCTTATGTGAAGTGGAGTTAACGTCAGGTAAACCCCGTGTTGTGCCAAAGCGAATATGTGATTGTGCTGATCATATCAATGTCACTGCAAAGCATCTGAAAATCCAGGTAATTGACGGAACCTGTAAAAGGATGTAGGATGTAATTTGTATGTTTAATGCATTTAATTTACATTCGTATATTACAAATGTATTTTGGAAATAATTTTAATAGTACAATTAAAATTAAATTGATTAAATTAACCATATACAATTGTGTTTTATTGCCATTAATGTAATTTCATTAGCCTAATGCTATAAAGATAAATTATGAGTACATTAATAATGTAACATTATATAATATTTGATAACATTAGGGTAAATTATTTTTAATAAATAATGACTACTAATTTAAAAATGAAACACTAATCTTATAAAAAAATTAATATAAAATGATGTATAAAATAGTGTCGGTAAAGTGAATCATGTTTCACGTGATTCACGCTCACTCAC